ATGTTTTCATCATACAGCCCAATATTGTAGAACCAGATTCGCTCTGCGTGTTTGTGGTGGCCTAAACCAATACTATGATAATAACAGTAATTAGTCTTAAAGGGCGGTGGTCGTCGCACCGCGCATGTGCGACGTGTTGATAAACATTGATCTTTCCCATAATCCAATACATTTTTCTAATGAAATCACGAGTGCGAGTTTTGATCTGGGCACGTATCGCACTAATCACCGTCACCGTCTGCGACTCTTTCGATACCTTCCAAACAGCAAAAAATACCTAATAAAAGCTTGTTTACTTTTCAGTTTTTACTAGTTGGTGTGCGCTACAGTCAAAATCGCCATCTTTGTTTATATGAGACCCATATATGTGCATGCGTGGTGCGACGACCACCGCCCTTTTAAATGTAACAAACTAGGAACCTGCTCGGTCGTCAAATTGGGCATATGCATAATCGTGTCACCGATGATTGCATGTCGAGAGGTAATTTTAAATAAGGCTGTGTCAACAAAATAACATTATAGTGATATGTCTAAATCATCAGTGACCAGAACATTCACATGTGTAGGTACTCACGTGGGATCGAAGCTGTAGACCTTGCAACCATGTTCAGCAAAATCTTTATCGAACGACCAGTCATTGCCAATGCTAAAATATAACACGTCACAATGGAAATAGTTGGTATGCGTAAATTATACCGTGTGTGGACAACGTTAAACTGTATATAAAAACGTACGACTAGACTAAATATGTACGACAAGCCTTAATATTGAAATAAATTAAATTACCCCACTGAGTAAACAATACATTGGCCAGGAGTGATACCAACATCCATACAAACATTCCAGCCGCCATCTTTAGGAAGGGGGTGACCAAATCGTGTGTCGTTCTTACAGTGATATGTCACCGTAGTCGTGTAATTCATCAGTAGTTGAATAGCTTCTAGTGGCGTGAGCAAATCCACCAGTACATCCACGTCAATATTGTTATACGTAGGGACCGCTCTTAGTGGTTGTTCAATTGGTTTTACTCCTCTCACGATTGATTGTACAGCTTGTTCCTGCCACACCCCGGGCTGCGATAAAACAAAGTTACCTAAGTATCATTATACCATTCCCCGAGGTGGACTTTTAGAATATGTTGCGATAATGGGGGAGGACATCGGGTGACAATTATATATGTTACATTATTGATTGCTTGTATTTGTTATAGCTTTAAATCGAAACCACCAAATACAGATTTCCTACCTTAGATGGATTTTCATCTAGGTATATTTCAAATGTTGGGCCACTCTTCTTTTTGTCCGCTGTATTCACAACTTCCCTCACAGTGGCGATGGCCTGATTCAATGTAGCTTTATCAGCAGCTTTTGTACCTATAATTTAATAATACTTGCTGTTAGGGATACCGATGTCGATAAGTGTAAAATGCATATAATTGTGCCCCAACACCGACTTATAAACATAGATGTAAGGTATCTTTTAACAAGTGTAGTAATTTGATGGGAATTACCACGCGATTTTATTAGACCTTGTAATATATGTAATATTATACGCCAACTGAAATATAAAAAAGCTTCTCCAACACTCTGAAACCGAAAACAGGCAGTGATCGCCCGATTGCTCTTTTCCGCCTGAGTATAGACACATTGGTTTTTGTTTCAACATGCTTAACCATAGAAGTACTTCCTACCAACATAATAAGTACGATAACCAAAAACAATATGCTGTAAGCAAAAATCTTGGCTTACTATTAGAACAGGTTAACACCAGAATTGTCATTATCATCACCACAATCACAATAATAACTTCGTGTTTACCAAGTTTCATTCTAAAAACAATAATAAAAAAGTGAAAAGTAAGCTTGAATATACACATGAATATTACCCATTCAAAAAAGTTGACTCTTCTGTTTTGTATTTAATCTTGAGCGAAGTGGTTGGCTTAATTCAGACAAGCAGGAAATATTGTACGCACTTTTATGTTTTTCTCCTACGCTACACTAATATAATGTAGTTCGCAAAGCACGGGCGGTGAAATCTTCAGTTTGTGCGGAGCCCAGAAACCCGTAAACTGGTCTGTAGTGCTGCCTTTTACATATTTTATTTTATCGTGATATTTGTTTGTGTGAAGATGCTAATCTTTCTATGTAATTCACAAATAGTGGATGGAATGATAATAATATTATAATAACATAATCAAACTATATTATTTAAAAAAATATCAAATCATCATAGTACAAGTTTGAAATTGAATTGTGTAATCTTTAAACCAGTTTGTCATTAAAACAAGTTTGCATGATGAAATAAAACAATGAATGAATCTCACATTCCAGACGAGAAACTAATGACACCGTGGTATTTCGTGTAAAATACAATGTTAATTGAGAAAGAACTACTGAAAAACTTGTTTTTTTTAAGCTAGAATGTTAGTTAAGCTAATTTAACTAATCTTTAATTTCTCTAATTCAAGATGCAGCTAATTTTAACAGAAAGTCTATTCTCACAGAGAGATAGGCGGCACTTTAGCTAAATTAAGATTCAAATGACAAATCCGCTAAAATTGCATGCAGCTATTTCAACGTGTTCTACAGTATTTGATTACACACCATATTGAACATGTACCAGTATACGTCGCATAAAACCAATATCAAACACGATCATCGCAAATATTGTGAATTATTTTTTGTACACAGTTTGCAATGATCAGAGAAAATTACATACACATAACGTGTGCACTCAAATAAATTGAAGGAATTATATTGTGTACATGTTATTTATTTATGATGCATATACTTAGACCCATTTATACAATCATTTTGGTCAACAGGACGGGCCAAATTACAGACACGGAAATGAGGGACGGCTCACTACAAACATATTAATGTATTGAGAAGAATGCGTCAGTTGTTTCGTGGAGACCGCTGCTCTTTGCGCTGGATTCTGAACAGTGCACGGGACCTGCAGCTCCGAAACGACGCCATTCTTACAAATAGGAATGCCGCGAGCCTGGCAAGTTGGCTGATTTTACTATTTTTTTGCACTGTCCAGTGTGTAGTCGACCATTTGGGTCTACCTGATTCCGAGTGTCTCCAGTACAACGTATAGTTGTGGGCGTGGCCGTCCCGTAAGCAATACAATGCATGAATTCACATACTCATATCTAATGTAACTTGTTTAGCGCAATAAATAAGAACTCCGTAAAAACACGTAAAAAACTCAATAAAACTGACCGAAAAACTGAAAACTTACGACGCTAACAAACACTCCATTTCTGAGAAAGTACTTTAACCTGTAGCCCACCTGAATGCACCAGAAGTAAAACGAGAACAGATCGTTGAAAGAGTATTTTTGAAAAGAACAGAAACCGTATTCAAGATGACTGCCCCTCTTATAATATAAATAGGTAAATCAGTCGCATTTATTTCGTTACCCCTTGTACGCCAACTTACTGTGGTATTGCACGTACATAACCAAGGTTAAGATGGAAACTGGCACTGCGCGGGTGGGAGTAATAAATAGGGCCGAGGTACAGTTGCTGGTACAATGACTGGAATCATTTCCTTTACACGCTTACTACACGCAATTTTAGATATTTTTTGTAAGAGTTTATATAGTATATCTCGGTAAATCAATCGAAATATGTTATTATCTTTTGTTCACCAGCTGTCTGTGATATTTACAGGCCAAATGTTGTCAACTTGTGCATAACCAAGATTCAAATGAAATCGGGCAGAGGTTACTGTACAGTTGCTGGTACTATATCTAGAATCATTTCCTATACACCAAACCTGCCGTCGTGCTACCTCACACACAAATACAGCTATATCACGATGAGTGCGGCTTTTAATGTAGAACACATTACATTCAGTTAAATTCAATTTAATTAGTTTCAATTAAACTTCAATGGTATATCGTCATGATTTATTCATATTTATAATAAATTGAATTAAATTAATAAGAATTGTGATTCTATATAAACATTTAATAGGAACACTATATAGGCATCGCGGTCAGGTTATGGCATCTTCGCCAGTCAAGGTTAATTTTTTCGACTGTTTTAGAACAGCGTCTGTGGCGTGATGAGAAGCTTACCGTGTTCACGTGTTTGAATTGTTTTGAGTTGTAATAAATGTATGTAACTTAACATGTGACTTCATTTTTAACAAGGTGAAGTGTTGACATTATCAGAGGTTTATTTATACGTATTATTACTCAATTCAAAAGCTTCACGTTCTATGTTGATACACAGCATACCATCAGTAGTATTAGATTCGTCGATGAGGCGGTTTCACACGTAACTGTGGAGGCAAACCAAGTGTTAAGTTTGAATTCAAAACAAATATCAATTAAATTTGGAGTCCCTTGTTCTTAATTAACATCAATGACCCGTCACTACAATTAACGAGTAATACTGTAAACTACTTTATTTTAACTGGAATTAATTTTCGCTGAAAAGATATTATGGGTTGTTTGTATGAAGTATATTTTCACTATTGTTGTGTTGAGTGTAAAATATAGGAGAAATATATAATCGCTGGATTATATTTTCACTGAATCATCCCTCCAGCGAAATGTAATTGTATTTATAGACATAAGATTGAATCAATGACAATGGATAGTTATAAATATTCAAATTTGTGTGTATCTCCTTCTATTAGAGGGTTCTGATGTAAATTACAATAATGACAAACATTGTGAATAACTTAGAGCGCCCTCTATAAAATAAATAAAGAATTCTAATACATAGTGATTTCCGGCTACTGCGTGGTATTGTGTAATGTGTAAAAAGCGCGAGCCGAACGTTTGCCGTAAAAAAAAAAATGATTTTGAACTTTTTTGATAGCTAATTGTCAAAAAGTAGATATGACGTTGAAATACACTCACTTCGCCTATGATTTGTATAGCACATTATTAGATACCCCTAAAATTCTTTGACTCCACTATGACGTTGTTTTGTCCTGTGTTACGTTCGATTTCACACAAGACATTTGAATATAATCTTTGTTCTATTAATATTACGAATATATGTACAATAGTTTTCGTTCTTGAATGACAGTATTGAGACCGAAAAAAAACTGCGAATTCGTTCCAACTACTACTTAAACACAAATGCAGTGTACGCAAATTAACACTTCTATACACCAATTTTAATAACATATAACAAGTTCATTAACATATTAGACGTAACAACATCAGATTCTTCAATACAATCGTTCACCTATAAGTTTGTTTCTATATGCAAAATGAAACTGTGACTGTATAAGTTCTTTCAGAAGAATAGGGTACAAACTATTATATACACATTGAAATAGAAAATACTATAAATACAATCTACAGTTAGAATTCACGCAATACAGATGACCATTAATCCCGGAAGAAGTAATCAGTCAAACAATGCATCGCGATAATCGCCAGAGGTAGGGACACAAGACAATAACATATATTCTCAATAAATTACAAAAAGTTAAATATGATCAAATACATCTTCCGAGTGAATTGTGAAAATATAAACTTTTTTTTCTCTTAAGGAACATTGTATAGAAAGCTACAAATGTAGCACTTTTCGAAAAATAAGCATAACATATAGCTAGTCATCAAGTAATGCAACATCATTCCATAACTTATATGCACTGACAAATATACCATTAGATAAAAAAGTAATCTTTAAAAAGGTCTACTAATATATTTCAAATATGTGACACAGAGCAAACACCATCGTACAATCACGTGTTTGTGTTTTGTTGTTGTTGTTGTTGTTTGCTCACTTGTTTTAGTTCTAAGAGTGGCCACAAACAAATCCAAAACATCCTAAAATCGGTTCCATCGGTAGCAGCGTTAGACTACTTGATGTATAATATCACTCAGTTTACTTAAAGAGCGGTGGTCGTCTCGCAGCGCGTGTTTGAATTTAATATAAACAAACAATGTATTTTACACGCGTTGTATACGTCTCATATCGAATCAGACGCGGCGCAACGACCACCGCCCTTTAACGATTCCCCCTAACACGAAACAATGTAAGCCAGATTGCATATGCTACTTGCCATGATGAATTATTATACGCACTCACATGAGAAATCTGTGATCCGTAATATACATAAACATTATAAAGGGTATAATCTAGTCTAGAAATTGGGAAGTCATTAGGTCTGCCAAATATGCGCAAAGCTATATATAAACTTTGCACCACAAATTATCACATGTGTAAGAATTATTCTATGAATATAGGGGAGAGGGATTAATTAACCATTACGCCCATATCATTTCCATTGTGTGGTTGAACATTTCTAGGATCTTCTTCGTTTGGAGACTTATTATTGGGCGCTTTCGGCTCATCCCTACCAGGTTGCCAAGCGATTGGACTCTCTTCTGTAGCCACCGGCGAACCGATAGGCTGTTTTCCATGCTGTTCAGGATAATAATATTCTGGAGTTGGTTCAATGAAAACGGGATCTAGGATGATAATGTCAGACTCGTTTGATTGGCGAACTATGCCAACCCCATTTTCTGTGTGTGGTTGAACATTGCTATGGGGATTTCCATTTGGGGGAATATTAATATGGGGCACTTTCGGCTGCTTTCTACCAGGATGCAAAGCATTTGAATTCTCTCCAGTAGCCATTGGTGACAGGATAGGCTGTTTTATATGCTGTTCAGAAACATAATCTTCTTGTGTTGGTTCAGTTGAATTCGGATTGAGGATGATAATGTCAGATTCGTTTGACTGAAGAACTACGCCAACCCCATGTGGTTGAACATTGCTATGAGGATTTCCATTTGGGGGCGCATTAATATGAGGAACTTTCGGCTGCATTTTACCAGGATTTAAAGCATTTAAATGTTCTCCATTAGCCATTGGTGACTGAATAGGCTCTTGTTTATGCTGTTCGGAATAATCTTCTTGTGTTGGTTCAGTGGAATTCGGATTTAGGATGATAATGTCAGATTCGTTTGACTGGCGAATTACACCAACGTCTTGCCCGGTGTGTGGTTGAATATTGTCATAACCTTTTGTATTTGGAAACTGTTGATCTTTAGGTTTCAACAAAACATCACCATGATGTGGCACTTTTGGTTGACCAATTATGTCGATACCATTCCCGTTGTGTGGTTGAACATTGCCATGATCTTTTTCATTTGGAGACGTTTGATCTTTCGGTGTCAACCAAATATCACCCTGATA